ACCTCCCTGCAGTCAGCAGGGACACCCCCAACTAGACCAGGTTGCCCAGGGCCTCATCGAGCCTCTCCTTGAATATCTCCAGGGAAGGGGCCTCAACCACCTCCCTGGGCAACCTGTTCCAGTGCTCCACCACCCTCACAGTGAAGAACCCTCTCCTCATCTCCAGTCTAAATCTGTTCCCCTCCAGCTTGAAGCCATTGCCCCTCGTCCTGTCACTACAGGCCTTTCTAAACAGGTTCTCCCCAGCCTTCCTGTAGCCCCCTCAGGTACTGGAAGGCCGCTATTAGGTCTCCCCGGAGCCTCCTCTTCTTCAGGCTGAACAACCCCAGCTCCCTCAGCCTGTCCTCGTAGCAGAGGTGCTCCATCCCCCTGATCATCCTTGTGGCCCTCCTCTGGACCCACTCCATCAGGTCCATGTCCTTCTTATATTGAGGGCTCCAGACCTGCACACAAGACTTCAGGTGAGGTCTCACCAGAGCAGAGTAGCTCTGAGGCAGCTCTGAAACAAGCCCAAGCCTTCTGCAGGCACCAAGCTGTAGTAAAATACCCTGCTTGTTGTTTCCGTCACCCATTGGCAAGGCAGGTGAACCCCCAGCGGCTGCCACGCCAGCTTCCTCAGCACGGTGCTGGTAAACAGACTGGTACCAATGCCTTTTGGCCATATGGTGTAATGGGCAATGCACGTATTGTGCTGAAGCAGAAGATGCTTTTTTTGAAGGACAGATGCATAGTGCACACTTTTAAAAAAAATAAACCCAATACATCAAAGAACACAACATAAAGCAAATCTCCAAGTACTGGAGCCATTCGCTCAGCAGAAGATGACTTTGCCTCCATCTCTACCCTGGCCTGGTGAGCTGCCACAAAGCAGGGCACACCTAGGCTGTGCCACCAGGTCCTGTCCCCAGCATGGCCCCTTTCCCAACTGGTGTCACCAGCTGGCATTGGTCCAGAGTGCCAAAAACAGGTTGGGTAGGTAGAGAAGGGTTTTGTCAGAAGAAATGCCACCCTCAGCCCTGCAAGGGCACCTCCCAGTATGCTGAAGCCCAGCATGACCGGCAGTATGGCAGGGACAGCGATGCAATCCCCAGTATGTTCCCTGCAGACACAGGCAGCCTGTGTCAGGGGACGGCACAGAGCCCCAGCTCGTAGTGGTCAGAGTGTTTCAGGCTCAAGACTGAGGGTTCAACCCAGCAAGTGCCTGTCATTTGCAAGGAAGAAGGATTAAACCCCTCTAACCATGGCTGGTGGCGTGCATCCTTTCCAGACACAGCCACGGGCAGATCCCAAAGCACTGCAGTCAATTGGGTTTGTTGCTTGGGATCTTCTTCTAGCAGCGACTCGGCTGCAGTGGGGTGCAAGGGAGCATGCTTGGCTCTGCCTGCCCAGAGAGACACGGTTCCACCAGCAGAACCTGCCTACCTTCAGGTGGTTGAAGGTGAGACCGCCTTTTCCACCCTCTTCTCCCCAGTCCTGGCTGCGGAGCTGGTCGAGCAGGCGAAGGCTGTCCAGACGGGGTCCCTTCTGTGTGTCCACTGCCTGGAGCAGCTTAAGGATGGGGAGGTGAGTGGAGGATCTGCAAGAGAAAGTGGGGTCCAGTGATAGGGAGGATGGAGACCTGTGCCCTCCCAGCTGGGGAGAGGATACCTGCAATGACCTAGCAAGCATGAGGACCTTCCCCAGCTGCACATGTGGCTCCAGACATGCAGTATCCTGGATCCACCTCCTGCACCCACCTCTGGTGAAGTGGGACCAGGGAGATTTGCAGCACGACAGGGATATTGCTGAGCAGCTCCTGCCTTTGCAGGAGGGACAAGAGGGGAGGCGAAACGGGGAGGCTGGATTGGACCCCAAGGAGGGGCCAAGCATCCAGCTGGACCACATTGTGCCCAAAATAAGCCTGGGCTGGTCCAGCCAGATGCTTGGTGCCTCCTTGGGACTGGATAGCTGTGCTGGCTGGTGAGATGTGTGTCACCCTGGCCCCTCTCCCTCCCACAGCCTGACCTGGGAGGCATCTCATCACCCTGCTGCTACCAGATGCCCAGGCTCGCTCCTGAAGCCCAAGCAGTGATCTGAGAGCTGCCACCCACCGTGCGGCCAGGATTCAGCTCCTGTGAACAATGCCAGGGGGGAGTGTGGGGGTGTATCCTTCAGTTGCATCACCCTCCCTCTTTCCTTGAGCTGCCTGAAATTTGGCTGAGGTTTTTTTCCCAACACAGAAAAAACATGACAACAGGGCAGCAGGTTTGGGCATCATGAGGGGGTGACTCCACCCTTCTGTTGACATGTCCCTTCTTTCACTTTCCCATCCCCTTTTTGCCTACACCCTGCAGTGCTGCCAGCCAAGGGGGATCCCCGGGGCAGGGTCACCTCACTGTGGGTGCAGTCGAGTTGCTCACCTCCAGCAATGGGCAGAGGCTGGAACAAAGTGGGCCTCTTCCGTGGCCTTCTGGAGGCTGCCTTTGGGGAAGCCCCTGTCTCTCTGCCTCCCCTTGAGCTGGAGTGGCTCCTGCCACCTCTTCACCACAGGGACAATGTCAAAGCGGAGAGTCTTCCAGCCACCACGGATGAGCAGGGAGAGCTCCATAGTATCTTCCTGCAGATTTTCAGCACTGAGGTCACCTAGATGTGGAGGGCTTGGTTAGGAAATTACCACAGCCGGTCCCGCAAGCTGAACCGGCTATGTGCCACACTGCCTGTGGGCACGTCGCACCCCATTCAACTCATCCCTTCCCAATGCTGCAGTTTCCCGGTGAAAGCTGCTCTCTGAACCCCACTGGGGTGGTTTTCAGGAAGGAGCATTGCTCCAGCAGGTCTCAGGGCCAGGCCAGCAGGTGTGTGGACAGCAGAAAGCCCCAAGCAGCTAAACAAGGCCATGCTGCTGGGTGTCTGAACAGTGTCAAAAACCCCAATGTGGTCCAACAAAAAAGGACCCAGAAAGGTCTCAGGTTGTGGGGGTAGAGGAAGACAAAGGGCTCTGGCTTGGCTAAGGAGGAAGGAGGAAATGGCAGGCTTGCTGGGGATGGGTTAAGAGACTGCCAGACCTGCTGGTCCTCTCACATCACCTTTCCATCAGGACTGAGATTTACTTCAAGAAGCGCCTTTGGAGATGGAATCTGTGAAGAAGCTGATGGGACCCCTACAGGCATTCCCAGGGTCCCTTCCCCACCATGTCCTTCCTGAGGACACTGGTTCCAGCTGAGACCACGTGTGCGCAGGGTCAGACCCATGCCCCAGGGTGCAGCCCTGACATGCTTCCAGCTTGCCCTCCAAACAGCCTCCTCCAGGGAGCAGGGGGCATCAGAGGCCAGGAGAGATGGGGGGAACACAGTTCGGTTCCTGAGCTAACTCTCCTTAGGAACTAACGGCAGGGGTGGGTGAACCGTCCGTGGACCCACCACCTGTGAAGGAAGGTGCCATCAGCTGAGGGTGAAGATGCCTGAGGATTGACTCTGCCGCTGTGGGATGGCAGGGAGTAGTTCACATCTCCTGTTCCTTAGCTGAGGGCAAAGCCTGTCCCAGTGCATGGCAGGGCACCTGCCAGCTTGCTTGTGCAGGCTTTTGGATCAGCCTGTTCTTGCAGGGCCCACTGCCGAGCTGGGCTCCCCTCCCCAGCTGCGCTAGAGGCAGTTCCTGCCGGGGAAGCGCCTGGCGAGCGTACGTACCTGGCTGCAGCAGGAACTGGCGCTGGCAGTGCACGATGGCAGAAACAAGGAGCTCTTTCAGGCGCTGGAGGACTTTTTCCGGAACTAGGCACCCTGCACCACCTCCCTGCTCCATTGCACCCACGGTGCCGGTCCAGTCCTCCAAGTCGGTCCCTGGAGAAGGCACTTCCAAACAGCAGGTGTCCAGCCCTGGATGGTGCCCGGTTGGGCTGTCCCCAGGCTGGCACACCACCACCGACAGGGCATTACCGTCGACTCGCAGGGGGACTTCCACAGTGACAGCATCCTCAGAGGCACAGAGAGCTAACTCAAAGGCTTCCAGGTTCCTGGCGTAGTCCACGAGGAAGCGGGGGTCCCTGGCGTGGACGCCCTCCAGCAAGGTGAGCAGGATGTCCTCGGCCCGCTGGAAATGCTCCAGCCGCTGCCTCTCGCGGGACAGGATCACCTCGAGGTAGCTGTGCCAGGGGGAAGCTCCGGCTGCCATGGCAGCTCCGCCGCTGTCCCCAGCCCGCTCGGAGCAGGACTCAAAATCCGTGGGCGGGG